AAAAAAAAAAAGTAAATTTTCTATCATTGTCTTGTCTCCTATAAGCAATCCCAAAACAGCACTAGATTCTACTTATACAGAAGAACTTAATTGTCCATGTACCAACTCAAGTTCACTTTTATAGAACAAAGAAAAAAAAAAAAACCTCCAAAAGAGGACATGTTTTTACTCAAATTATTCTGTATCTTAACAGCATTACCTATTACAGGTATATTACAAATTAGGAAATTAAAATCCTGTTCAAAGGAAGTCTCCCGAAATGGTCCTTTCCATTAGTCAAACAGAGCATTACAGACAGCCAATATAAATCAGAAAATTCTGAAGGATGTATAAATAAATTAAAATAAATCCTTTAGAAGGGAATAATTATATGACAAAAAAAATTAATCCAACACTTCAAAAGTGGAGTTTTTAATTACAAAAATATTTTATAATTTAGTTGACTTTTACAATATGTATTCAGGAAAAAAATTTTAATTCATCCAGAGCAGTTCGGTATTATTTATTTCAATTATGAAGACTCAGAACACTAAAGCTAGAATAAATCTTAAGAGATGAGATGATTTAGTTTAACACTTCAATTTTACAGATAATGGCAAAAGGAGCCATATATGAAAATTTATCCAAGCTAGTACAGATAAAAATAACAGTATCAATATTATATCATTATTGTTGTTGTTATTTTAACTAAGCATAGCATTGTGTTGGCAAAACCTTACCTGTTCGAGTATAACAATTAACCGGGAAGCTGGTGGCAGTGTATATGCTAATACAATATATGTTGGTCCAAAACCTAGAACTCCAATCTGGAAGACTATGAAAAGAAAGCCATGGAAGAGAGAATGGATCAGTGGATGAGAACTCTTTCTGTAGCCACTGGCCCAATGTTGAAACAGGAAATAGGGAACTGAAAGTGTAGATAGGAACATGATCCACCAGGTCCAAACAACAGTAGGAAATTTGCCAAAAGCATACGATAGGAGACCGAACTCAAGCACCAGCCTGGGGAGATAAAGCACAGAGACAGAATGTACAAGTGAATTTTTAATATGCATTAAGTTCAAAGAATTCAAAACTTCCAGACCCAAAACTTTCAACCTTAGGAAACACTACAACATTAATACATTGAAGTCATGGACATTAATAGTTCTGCTAGACAGAGATCTGCCTGTAACCCTCTAATTCACAGTATATCTCAACAACAAATTTTCTGAAAGCCCTAAGATAATATGGTCTTTGAACTTAAAAAACCTAAGATAACAAAGCTTTGAACTTCTGAAAGATTAGATTCTCACATTAATATTTTAAACTCTGAAATATTCCATGGCAAAATATAGTATTCAAATAGCAATCATTTTTATGTATAAAAGATGATTTTTCAGATGGAAAATAAGTACAATTAAAAAACCTATCACTACACTATTTTACCATTATCTCAAAATTAAACTTTCAAAAAAAGGACATAATTC